GACAAGGAAAAAAAAGAAGATACTGTCTTCATCTATTCAAGAGCTCTCAGTGTCCAAGTCAGATTCAAGGCTTGGCTGAAGGACTGAGTCCCTCATGGTGGGCTAATTCTTCCAAGCCTTGTAATTTTCTTCATAGTTTTCCTTTCAGTTCCTGCCTTGGGAAAAGGACAATAAGTACAAAGGCAAAGACAGTTTATAGATATTGCTGCCAGTTGATGCCTCCTTATGTCCTTTTTATGCATTTAGAATGTCACCAGTGATCTAAAATCCTAAATCCAATGCCAATGCTCTCTTCTTAGACTTTAATTATTTTCACAATCTGAGAAGCATAGTGTTTTTCAAGCAACATGCTTCTTAAAGTCCCTGCTATGTTTCCCTGATGCCTCTCCCATGCGCCTGACTACATTAGAGGAGCTGACTCCTGATTACTACTATTGGGTAGTCACTAAGCTTTAGTTTTTGGTTCTTCATTCCTTGCTTTCTTCACCTTCTCTCCTTAGAAACCACCTTTCTTCCTGAGGGTCAACTCCTGATACTTTTAATGTCTCTTTCTTGGTTTTATATTACTAGCTCTGTAATCATTCCTGAGCTCCAATCCCATTTCTCCAACTATCTTCCACCATGGATGTACCATGATTACTTCAAATTCAAACACTGAAATTAGTCTTAGTCTTGCCTACCCAAAATGGCTTGTCCTGCTATAGTCTCCTTATTTTTCACACATTAGTAAAACGCCAGTCATCTAATGCTGTCAATGAGCAGCCTGTCTCCATTCCTACTCTTCTATGAGAAAATTTCAAAATCTTATCTCCCTTCTTTTCCAAGATAAAAACTTTCTAGGAAGAATATTAAGCAAACAAATGTACCATGTTAGACACCATAAGCCATTATCAACGAGAGAAATTTAGAAACAGGTAAAAAATAACATCGTATATATTTTTAAATTTCATTTTTGAAAATCACAAACTTGAGGATTTTTTTTTTCAGAAATACATACTGTTAAAGTGACCTTTTCATGTATAGCAAAAGGGCATTTCTTTTATCTACCTCTGGCTCTTAAGATTCAGAAAGAAAAAAGTCCTATTTACTAAAAATCCATTATTGGTTCAGATAGATGTGCTTTAACTGAAGCACTGTTTACAACCTGGAACTCTCTCTGTGGATGCTTTTGATCCAGAAACTATAATCAAAAGCCTCTGCACTGAGCATAAGGCAATGTACTTCTAGAACACAGGAAAATTGTGGCCATCTGAATTCCTGGCAATTTCAGCTACAGAAAAGAGTTTTTTTTAAGAAAGCTGCTTACTGAATTTCCCTCTTAAAAAGGTTCTCTTTTTCTTTCCTCCGTTGTATGGAAAGGAAAAATCAGCAGGTAAGGTCAGAATAAGTAATTTATTCATTTTTCGACTCTGTTTTCTTTTACTTGCTCAGAGCTCTATTATACGTTTTCTGTGTAATTAATTTTCTACCTGGTGTCTATACTTTTATTTTTTTAAATCATACAGGCAGGAATTGAACCAAGTTATGTTGAATTATGTAAAAAGCACTTTTCAGGAATGGTATTCTTGCCTTTCTCCCATAGCTAATGCTGTTCCCTCTGCTACTTCACATGCTAATATTTCCCAGATTCAGAAAAATTGGAACTCTCGTGCTGGTTGGACTATAAGTTATCATGTATTAGCCTTGTGATCCAAAGTGACAGAAACAGAATTAAAACTCAAACTAATTTAAGGGGTGGGGGAAGCAGGTGGGGAAGATTTTGGTCTTACATAATTGGATAAGATGGGCACTACACAGGACTGGACCAAGGGTTCAAGTGAGATTGTCATGACATCTTCTTATTCCCAATCAAAAATGAGCTTTACTTTTCTCTCTTTGTTCTTTCCTAAAACACTCAGACATCACTCTATGTTCAGAGATGGTGGTGCTTTCTTTCAAAAATGTAACTGTTCCCTGCCAGCTACAGCAGAGAAATCCCAGAGAAGGGTTCTGATTGACCCAGGGGTCCATCCCTGAGTCAATCACTGTGGCCAGGGAACCTAAAATGAGCAGTATAGCCTAGAGGTTAATAGAATGTACTCTGATGGAATTTTGTAGATTTATGTTATCTCCTTTTAATGTACTCTCTGATACTTGCCAGGCTCATATCCCATTTTCATGGGAAGTCCCACTGCCATTTCCCCAGTTCAGTGTAGGGCCCTGGAGCCAAAGCGTTGACCAGTGAGAGGCAGCCCAGGTTCTGGCTGTTCACTGCTCTTTTCATCCATCCCTATATAACAGCTATTTCCACTTCCTTAGGTAGAAGAGGAAAAAAATAAGGATATACTCTCAGTCCACTTCTCTCTAAATTTGGGATTATTTGTGAGAATTCTAATGATTTGATTGTAACTTTCAAGGATTGCTTCTGGTAAATACAAGTAGAGCCACACTAAGCTTCAGCAAAATCTTCCACTTGTACATTGGTTGTAATTTTTTCTGGTTTATCTCTGTTCCTTTCCTAACGTAGCTATTACTAAAAAAATTTTGCTGGTAAAAAATAATAGTAATAATTTATATTGGGACTTCCCTGGTGGCGCAGTGGTTAGGAATCTGCTTGCCAATGCAGGGGACATGGGTTCGAGCCCTGATCCAGGAAGATCCCACATGCCCTGGAGCAACTAAGACTATGCGCCACAACTGCTGAGCCTGCGCTCTAGAGCCTGTGAGCCACAACTACTGAGCCCACATGCCACAACTACTGAAGCCCATGCTCCTAGAGCCCATGCTCTGCAACAGGAGAAGCCACCGCAATGAGAAGCCCATGCTCTGCAACGAAGAGTAGCCCCTGCTCGCCGCAACTAGAGAAAGCCCATGTGCAGCAATGAAGATCCAACGCAGCCAAAAATAAATAAATTAATAATAATACATATATATACTTTTATTTATATATAATTTATATATATATAAGTTATATATGTATAATTTATAGAGAAAGTGTTACTTAATTAGATATTGGTGGACAGTGTGTGACTCAACTTCACTCCCCCATCTTCATGCAGAATTAGCCTCAGCTTGTATTGCACAATTAAAGGAGCCACTCAAGTGACTCTCACCTAGACATAGATTGCTTCAAGTGTACTTGCTATGTTGTCCTAGGCAGAAAAGAGGCTCGCAGTTTCTTTTATTGGAAAATTTTGTGTCCTGCCTCATCAGTTATTCTATAATACATGCATGAGTGAGTGCAAGCATAGCTCTGATAAGCTTTTTTTATAATCTAATTGGGTAAAAAACCTTTTTCCCCCCGTGCACACATCTTCTGTTTTCTTTGCTTTCAGAATATATGTCTTTTGTAATTATTCCTTCCCATGTTTGAGAAACATTCCCCAAATTTCTGTTCATTCATTTACCTCCCTATCTTGTCTTACTGTTTCAGCTAGGAGGAAGTGGAAGGCTCTGATCATTTACCAAATCATAGTCCCCCTTCTTTTTTTTTTTTTAAGACAATTTTTTTAGAGAAGTTTTAGGTTCGCAACAAAATTAAGAGGCAGAAGCAGAGATTTCCCAAATACCCCTGCCCTCACACATGCATAGCCTCCTCATTATCAACATCCCTAACCAGAGCGGTACATTTGTTACAACTGATGAACCTACACTGACACAGCATAATCACCAAAATTCATGGTTTGGACAAATGTAGAATGACATGTACCCATTTTGACAGTACAGAGTATTTTCAACATGCTCTTAAAAAGACACCGTGTTCTATCTAGTCATCCCTTACCGCCAACCCCTGGCAATGACTGATCTCTTTACTGTCTCCGTAGTTTTGCTTCTTTCAGAACGTCGTATAGTTGGAAATCATACAGTACGTAGTGTTTTCAGGTTGACTTCTTTCACTTAATATGCATTTAAGGTTCCTCCATGACTCATCATGGTTTAACAGCTCATTTCTTTTCAGCACTGAATGATATTCCATAGTCTTGATGTACCACAGTTTATTTACCTGTTAACCTACTGAAAGACAGAGTGTTTACTTCTAAGTTTTGGCAAGTGTAAACAAAGCTGTTATAAACATCACTGTGCAGGTTTTTGTATGGAAATAGTTTTTACCTACTTTGGGTAAATTCTGAGGGGCATGATTGCTGGACTGTATGGTAAGAGTACATTTAGTTTTGTAAGAAACTGCCAAACTATCTTCCAATGTGACCATACAATTTTGTGTTCTCAGCAGCAACGCATGAGAGTTCCTGTTGCTCCACATCCTCTACAGCATTTGGTGTTGCCAGTGTTCCAGATTTTGGCCATTCTAATACATATGTAGTAGTATCTCATTGTTGTTTTATTCTGCATTCCCTCATGACATATGATGTGGAGCATTTTTCATATGCTTATTTGACATCTATATATCTTCTTTGGTGAGGTGTCTTTTAAGGTCTTTGGCCCATTTTTCAATCAGGCTGTTTGTTTTCTTATTGTTGAATTTTAAGAGTTCTTTGTGTATTTGTGATAACAATCGTTTATTAGAAGTATCTTTTGCAAATATTTTTTTCCCAGTCTGTGATTTGTCTTCTCATTCTTCTGACATTGTCTTTCACAGACCAGAAGTTTTTTTATTTTACTGAAATTCAGCTTATCCATCGTTTCTTTCATGGATCATGCCGTTGGTATTGTATCTAAGAAGTCGTCATCAATCCAAAGGTCATCTAGGTTTCTCCTATGTTATCTGCTAGGAGTTTTATAGTTTTGTGTTTCAATTTTGTGTCTGTGATCCACTTTGAGTTAGATTTTGTGAAGGGTGTAAGGTCTGTGTCTAGACTAATGTTTTTGCACATAGTTGTCCAGTTTTTCCGGAATCATCTTTTTTTTTTTTGCGGTACGTGGGCCTCTAACTGTTGTGGCCTCTCCCGTTGCGGAGCACAGGCTCTGGACGCGCAGGCTCAGCGGCCATGGCTCACGGACACAGCCGCTCCGCAGCATGTGGGATCTTCCCGGATCGGGGCACGAACCCCGCCATCGGCAGGCGGACTCTCAACCACTGCGCCACCACGGAAGCCCTCCAGCACCATCTTTGCTCCATTGTATTGCCTTTGCTCCTTTGTCAAAGATCAGTTGACTATAGATCACAGTCTATTTCTGCATTCTCTGTTCTGTTCCAGTGATCTATTTGTCTGTTCTTTCCCCAAAATCACACTGTCTTGATTACTGTAGCTGTACAGTAAGTCTTGAAATCAGATAGCATCAGTCCTTCAGATTTGTTTTTCTCCTTCAATATTGTTTTGGCTATTCTGGGTATTTTGCCTCCCATAAAAATTTAGAGTCAATTTGTCAATATCCACAGAATAACTTGCCAGGATTTTGATTAGAATAATCCCTCCACTTCATTACTGTCCCAAAGCCCAATGCTCTCAAGTTGCTCCCGGCTAACCAAAACTGCCTGCTGCTGTCTTCCACATGGCCTCTCCTTTGCCTTTCAAACTTACATCTCTTGACTTCTGCTTCCCCCTTAATGAAAACTCCAGTAGGTGTTAGAAGACCCACAATCTGATGCATGTGACTTATTGGTAGTTCCAAAACATTCCAAGAAGTACTTGCCTTTAACCAAGTGAATACCTATAACTGTGTATCAGGGAGTTTTCTGGTTGGAGATGTTTATTTTACCATTTAATAAAAGCTGCCCTTTATAGTCTGGGCGTGGGTCAAGGTAAGGAGGTGAGCTTTCCTTCCATCTCGTGGAAGGAGGAGAAAACTGTTTTGGGAAGATGGTTCTTTTTACCAGCTGATCACTGAAGACTCAACTTAAAGAAGTCCTGTCTCTTCTCATCTTGCCAGCTAGGGAATAAATAGTAGGCCCTGACTGAATCCACTTTGGGATTTAAGGGGCTTTGGAGAACACTTAAAGGGCCTTTGCAGCCCAAGAGATCTGAGTTCAAATATTTGGGTGGCAACATGACCTTGGCCAAGTTATTTAATTTCTTTGAGTTTAGGTTTCTTCATTTGTAAAACAGAGATATTACCCTTAGAGTGTTGTTGAGATTTAAATGAGATAAATAAAATACCTATTACAGTACAGATCGGGTGTTTAATAAACACTAGCTTTTATAAATAATTGCCCTTTAATAGTTTATGGGTGGAAAACCCTCCAGTTGAGCAAGTGAGGGTGAGCCAATAGTATTTAATGGCCAATAGTATTTAATCTTCAAATATTAGAGGTATTGGAATTAATTTTTCTATAGTAACAGTATTATAAATAATGGCTAGGGTCCTATACCATTGCTCAAACATCTATTTAACCTATAATATTGCTGATGGAGTTTTCTATAGTAAGGTTGCTGTTGGCAATACAGGCAGGTTTCTGGGGCAGTCAATATCTTAGATGCTCAGAGATCCTCATTACTTTTGTGAGATAATGAGTTCAGAATGCTTACATGAAATTCCAGCAACATAGTCGTCCTGATTCAGTCTTTGTTATAGGATTAGGAACTCTTTTCTTCTGACCTCCCTCATCTGTTGGGTGTTGGCTGTGGGGATGGAAGCCCCTCTTGGTGGGTCCCTTGGCACAGGCCCTAGGAGGAAAGGGATTTATATTAATGAGTTTAGGATGGCAGGGAGGAGGGTAATGACAGGGATGTCAGTAAATAAGCTAGTGAGAAAGAGGCATGATTACTTCTCCATCTGAGCTGAATTCCTATATGCTCCTCCCCCCACCAAAAAAAAAATCTCAGAGTTTAGCCTGTTTGCTTTTCCTTACACTGTAACCACCCCTCAAGTCTGATAAAAGTCCCCTTTCCCTTTAAGACCAGCACTGAAGAGAGCATATCTCTTTGTCCTGCCAGTCCCCAAAACCACAGTACTTTGGTTTTCTAAGAGATTTTGCTGCTAGCAATAAGGCAAAATAAGGCAAAATTTTATTTAAAAAAAATTATTTAAAAAAAGGCTTCCTTTTTCAGACCCATCCTTCCTCTTTTATTTCTTAGAAATAAAGCTGAAGAATAAAACTAAAGAAACTACAGGGAAAAAAAGAATGAAAGAAACTAAAGGGAAAAACCACAAAGGCACATAGCCTTTGAGCATTCAAAGGACAGAATAACAAAATTCAATTACAGATCAGGGAATAGTTAGATTCAAGAATTCCCCTGGACTTTCTGTGTTAGGAGGTGGACTTGTGGCCTTTGGGCAGAGGGGACAGGGAAGGGAGGATGAAAGGTATAATTTACCTCCATCTCTTCCATTTCCTTATCTTACTAATTTTGCTACAAGGTCAGAGTTATGCTCAAGTTGCATAAGAAGTCAGGACTGGATTTAGGGTTGAATAGAACCTTGTTAAGGGGGAGGTGAGTGACATTACAGGGTGATCTATGAAGAGCAGCAGTTTGAAAGTAAAGGGATTGTCTATGGCCACTTCTCCAAGGTGGTTCTTCAGGGACTCTTTTTATATATATGTAAATCAGGTCCTGTCTATATTCAGGGTTCAACTATTAGTGAGGATCTACTCTGTGCTATGATAAATATTGGGGAATCAGGGATACAATAGATGTATTTAAAGATGCTTGTGTAATCATCAACATGAAATGTTTTACTAATTAAGCTGAGTGGTCATGCAGTACAACAACCAGTCTGCACAGCAAAAGCTATTTCATAGATCATAGAGCAGTAGAGGATTCTTCCTATAAATTAGGGGTCAGCAAACTTCTTCTCTAATGGGCCAAACAGTAAATATTTTGCTTTGCAGGATATACAGTCTCTGTTGAAACTACTCAGCTCTGCAGTTGTAGTGTGAAAGTAGCCATAGACAATATCTAAATGTCTATGCATTGCTGTGTTCCAATAAATTTTACTAATGGACATGGGAATTTCATATAATTTTCATATATCATGAGATATTTTTCTTCTATTGATTTTTTCCAACCATTTAAAAATGTAAAAAACATTCTCAGCTCAAGGACTATATAAAACCAGACAGCAGGCCGTAGTTGTAGTGGAATAAATAGATATAGTAAAAGGATTTAGTTGTTTCATTGAAAGAGTCCATCTGCTAAACATCAAAGATAGGTTGTTGAATGGGCATTTTTTTCTGAATAAGAGTAAAAGGAATGTCCTCACTTTTCATTAGTTGTTGTACTGTAGTCCCATTGTTTTGGATACAGACTGGGATGGCCTCAGAACATTTGTGGTGTCTCAAACATCACTGGAAAATTTGATTTGGACTGAGGTTTGACACTATATGAAAACTTTAGAAAGAATATGTCAAAAGGTTAGATTTAATTTAATAATAATAATGAGTAGCTAACATCTATTGAATTCTGACTATGTGCTAAACACTGTGCTCATTTAATCTTCATGATAATTGTATGAAGAAAGTCTATTACTATTCCCACTTTACAGATAAGGAAAGTAAAGCACGAAGAGATTAAGCAACTTGTCTAAATGACTGATTAGGCCAGGAGTCAAACTCTTGTTTATTTCAAGGATGAAGGAATTTAATAAAAACTAACAGATGTTTGTATGGAAATATGTTAATATAAATGTTTCAGACATTACATGAAATTTCTAAAAATCTTATATGTTCTGGCATAAGTCATAATTCTAGTTGTTACTTTAAAATATATATCTCAGAAATAACTAAATTTCCTTGCCAATTGCATTATTATGTACTTTCATCAAATCTTTAACCGTGGTCATTTTTAAGTCTTTTGTCATTTACAGACAGTTCTGGGTGTACTCTGATGCTTTTGCAAAAATATTCCCGTAAAAGGGTTTCATCTTCAAGGAATTCATGGAAAAGACTCTGACAAGTACAGGTTTCTGGTAATTGACTATACTGCTGAACTGAATGAATAAGCATTTTCAGAACTCTAATGGAAAACTGATGAATTCATAAAAGTGCTAACAAAAGATCAAGATAAAAAAAATTAATTACATGGGACTGAGTGAACTGATAAGGATGATTATAAGTTTTGTGACTTTCTGTTTGAATAATTAAAAAAAAACCTAACAGATGTTTATCAGGAATAAAAATGCCAAGTAAAATGTGTTGATAATCAGGTTAAACTTGTTAATTTTACAGATGACGAAAACAAAGTTTACAAGACATTTTCCATGGTCACACAGCAAATGACAGATCAGGAGTAGATCTCAGATTTTCTAACTACTAGGTCCCTTAGTTTCTTTTATTCTGCTAAACAGTATGCCCTTCAAAACCAAAAGATAGGCAGAATAGAATGAGTAAACAAGTTAAACTTTGGGCTATACACAGAATTTATGTGGAATATAGAAAAACCTTGATTTAAGATCTAAAATATAAAATTAACTTAAAGTCATTTAAAATAAAATCTGAATAATTAAAACACAAACTAAACTGTATGTTAGACCTCAATAAAATAGGTTTTTTTTTTTTAAGACAAGTTATGTTTTAAATCCCTTATTTTTATGAGGAGACTGGGATAAATAATGGAATTCATTTACATCTTTCAAATTAAGAAAAGGGAGATGGCTCTTAAATTTATTTTTTTTAAAGTTTTTATTATAGTTGATTTACAATGTTGCATTAGTTTCTGCTGTACAGCAAGGTATATCTGTTATACATATATCCACTAATTTTGAGATTCTTTTCTTAAACTTATTTTTTAAGTAACTTTTTTTTATTGCTAAACGAAGTACATGTATACTGCAAAAAACTTAGGGAAAGCAAAAGGAAATAAAATTACCAGTACTCCTCCTACCCAAGTAATAGTGTGAACTTTTTGGGGGGTTGTTTGTTTTGCTTTCTGTTTTTTGTTTTTTTACCACAAGAAAAGGATATAAAATCAAAATCAGTTCACCAATTTTTAAAAAAAAAACTTTTTTTTTTTTTTTTGGTGGGGAGTTCCTATTTACATTCACTCATTTAACATTTTCTGAACACCTAGGTTGGAAAGCGCACTGCACTAGACACTTGGGATACAGGACAGTTTGTCCCTAAGAGGGTACCTGGGAGGAGACATAAAGAGATGTTTATCAATAATAATACAAAACTTGTGTTAAAATACAATTAGAGTTGAATCTCACAGTTGAGACTGTGACACTAAACATTCTGGAATTCTTAGGTTTTTCCAAAACAGCTTAACGCAGGGCTGTTGCAGTACTGTTATCAGCACTACTTTAAAACGAATGTTAAGTTAAACATTGGCGAAAACCCTTCATTTTAGTACTTGTCGAATGTTTAAACCTTTCAAAATTTTCCTTTTTAGCGAACTGGAAACGCGCGTCCTGTCGAGGTAACCATTGCGCGGGGACAGAGACACTGCAGGGTTCACATTCACTTGGGAGTATTCGCGGGACGCCTAGGGGAGCGGTGCTTGTTGGGACTTGTAGTCTCTACCGGGGCCGAAGACACCGCAACTGCATTTATAATGCACTTCTCCCTTTTAAGCTTTCTGGCCCAACAGTCAGATTAAGCCCCAACCTAAAGCATAATTTGACAACCCTTACCTCTTCCAAGGCTCTTTATGTTTTTACTAGGTTCCTTACGTTCAACATTCAAACGCACATCGTCCCTCACAAGCCTCAAAGAGATTGGTCTGTCCTCAGCGGTGGGCGGAGCCTTAGGTGGACTGGATCTCTGGATTGGCCAACATCTCACTCGAAGAGGCGTTTTCCACTTGCCGTTCTGCACACTGTGGTAAAAAAGTAAATCGTTTACCGCAGTGTTCCTTTTCGCCGCGAGAATCTCGCGATATTTCCGCCAAAGGGACCTAGCGACGCGTAGAGAGCCGCCGAGGCCAGTGGGGGTGGCCGGCACCGGAGCAGGGAAAAGCTAGGTTAGGGGGCAGAGGACTAGCGGGTGCTACTTGCGCCATTCGGGTTCGGTCCGGGCCAGCCACCCAGAACACAGAGGAAGTGTTGTGGACGGCGTGTCCCTCCTGGCCGGTGGGTCGGCCCGGGGTCGCAGCCGCTGGGTCAACCCCGAGTTTCACCTGGGCCCGCGCGGGTTGTGACAGGTGCGCGGTAGAGCGCGGCGCTCCGCCCGCTCGCCGGTCCGCCCCCTCCGGGCCTCGCCTGCGCGGGCTCGGGATGAGCTGCGGGCCGCAGCTGAGCGGCTCCCGCTCCTGGCGCCTGTCGCTGCCGCCGTCTCCTCCCAAGAGCAGACGCCGCCCGTGAGGGAAAGAGGGAGGGAAGCGGCCGCTGACCCCGGGCATGAGCCGGACGCGACTTACGTTGCTGGATTAAGGCGCCGACATGAACCTGCACCAGGTGCTGACCGGGGCTGTGAACCCCGGCGACCACTGCTTCTCCGTGGGCAGCGTCGGCGACCAGCGCTTCACGGTGAGTGAGGGAGGCTCCCGCGTCGCCTGTGGCGAGTCCGCGCCCCTGAGTCAGCCGGGCTCGGCCCAGAGTGACGGGCAGAGGCCGAGAAAGCCTCGTCGCCCTCGCGGGGCGTCTCCTACGGAGGTCCCAGCTCCTTAGGGCCGGCGTACCTGGCCTTTGAGAACGAAGGAGGCAGTAACGCTTCGGTCATTGAGTTATTTAATGTACAGAGGCTAAACTCGGAAGTTAGAATGTTTTGTAGGATTTTTAAAGTTTTTAATCTGACGTCCTTGGGCTGGGGAGGTTTACTAAAATCGTTTGTCCGAGAAGCGTTGGTGTGTAATGTGTATGTGGGCTTTTTATTGCCCCACTCCATAGGCTCTAATTGTCAAGTTGAGGAATAGTTGGGATTGGTTTCATTTCTTCCTCTAAGTTTAGGTCAAGTGTCTTTGTAGTTGAAAAGAATGGGTGTCTTAAAAACAGGTAGCTGTCAACAACTAGCGCTGAGTGAAAACAGTGCTTTTCACTTATTTTTCTTTAAATTCACTGGGAATAACTTTGGAAAGAAAAAACTATTTTTCGTAAATGGTTCACTCCTGCCATCCTTTGAATTCCATATGTAACAGTTTAGTAGTCCTGGGAGGCTTATATTTATTTTAGATTGTTCACATTAATTACTAAAAGTTGCATTACTGTTTCTCAGTAAAATTCCTCTTTGATGTGTAGTGGTAATTCCAGGTTAAAGTTTAAATGAAAGTGTCTTGTTTTTCATTTGTTTTCCCCAGATAGTGAAAGGAAGAGGGCCCCAAACTTTTGCTGTTTATCAGTATATTGACATTTTCTGCCTTAACTATAGCGGTTTTTTTTAAAGAATTAAGTATAGTTTTTATAATGATTTCAAGCCATAAGTCAGTATTGCACATGATAGCCTATATCTGAATATATGTATAGTGCTCATGATTTTTGCTACAACTTGAATAGCTATCTCTTACTTGTGATTAAAACTTAATTTTGCATAAAAAAGTGAAACAAAATAAACATCTTAGTAGATGCCCTAGGTTTTCTTCTCAAACGATTTTGACTTTTTTTGGTCATCTTTATCAGTCGGAATAAATAATAGGAAAAAAAAGTAGTCATTATTTAACATGGTGTAGGCATTTAATACCTGAATTGTGCTTTTAGATCTGTGCCAACCAAGTACTTTGCTTTTGAATAGAGTCTGTACCTCCCCTGTAGAGTGACTCACACACACCTTAACTTGCACTTGACACTAGCAGTTTTAGAGATTCTAATTCTAAATGTTGACCTCGCTTCAGTGCTCAAGAGGAGGGTGAACTCTGAGAGTCTCAGTGGGCAACCATAGTCTCCCTGCAGTTGAACATTGCTCACTGCTCTTGCTATTTAGAAAATAAAGATCATCCTAAGACGATTTTGCTAGTGGTAGATTATAGGATGGTAACATTACATTCTCTGTCATCTCCTAAAATTATATGAGTACTTCCTCCAATGTAAATTCTAACAACTTTTTCTGAGAAGGCATTCAGAATCTATGTAAGCAGTGATATGAACTTCAAAGCATATACAATATGATGGCCTATTTATACACCTAGATGATCCTTATAAGTGTATATAAAATCTTGGTGAATGCTTCTGTTATGTTAAAGGAGAAATGAGTTAATGTACCAAAGATAAGACTATCCTACGCCATCATGTAGCTTGTTGCACAGTTCTACTGAATTTTAAAGTCTGTTTCCATAGACCAGGCTTTAATCATCTCCCACCAAGCCTACTGCAGATTTCTTCCAGATCTCAGGAATCAGTCCAGTAAATAAGGTAAAAATAAACATTTTGTTGTTATTTAGTATAAAGAGATCCCAGGTCTCTATAATTTTGGTGATAGTTTATTAACAATCATATTTTTTTCTTTGCAGCTAATCCATCCCTGACTCTCTAACATTAAATTGATATTCCGTTATAAACCAAGTTTCTTGCCCTCAGTCTGCTGGACACTATATACATCTTAAATTTATCTCTCTTGAAATTACTGTCTTTGCTAAAATGTAGAATCTGTTGTTTACTCCTTGAATTTTGTTTTTAACCTCTTTTGATTTTGGCTTCTTTTTCTTTTCATAGAAAGAGAGCAAACATTAATGGTAGATGGTATGTGCAGACTAAAAAACTCTCTCCAAATTCCAGTTTTACTTGAGCTAGGGACATGAAATCTTCTTGCAGGCCCACTTGAAGAATTACTTTGTTTGTCCTGTTACATTATGCCTTCTCTAAAGACAGACTTTACATTCGTAATTCATCTCTTTGCATGTTTGCAGATAACTTATTTGTTCTTGTTTTGAAAGATTACAAGAGATGAGATCTCATTTTTTGAATACAGTCTGACAGGTTTTAAATTGAAATGAAATTGAGTGCCATTTCTCATGGATTCTTGATTTTAAAATATGAAATTACTAATATAGTTAGTATATGTAAGTATTAGATACTTTTTTACTACTTAAACTGGCATCAAACAATTTTGACTTTTCTCTTAATAAGAAAGCTTCTAGTAGGCAATGACCTTTTCTCTTATACTTTCAAAGCACTTTATTTGTGCTTTCGTTATATTAATGACCTGTCTTGCCTTGTGTATGTCTTCCACAGTTTCATTGTGAGTGCCTGGAACAGTGATTGAAGTACTGATGTCACCTAATAGTAGAGTCATTACCTGAATTTGATTTCCAACCTAGTCCTTATAGTTAGTTATGTATCCCTGGGCAAGTTCTTTTACATTCTTTGAATTTCTTTTTTTTCTTATCTGTAAAGTGGGGCTAAAGAAGAACTTATTCATAGGGTTGTTACATGAAAAAGTGCTAAGTTCATTGCTTAGTACCTGTAAAACCCTTAAAAATGTCAGTTATTATAAAGGCTAAACTCATTATAATGCATAGCACATAAAAAGTGCTTAATAAATACTGGTTGAATTGATGACTAATAGATAAAGAAGCCTTATCTATGTAATTAAAAATTGTGTTTTTAAAAAAATATTTTTAATAATTTAGATTTGAGTCCAAATAAAATACTTCAATTAAAGTTTAAAATTTTTTTCCAAAGTCATTTATTACGCATTTTGCCATAAATATCAGGTGAGTAACCAGGAGAGATTTCAGATATCCGAAGCAAAAATTCTTTAATTTTTCTTTATTTACATGAATTTTTCTCTCACTCCTTTTCCCTTGTTAATTTCATACTGTCTTTAGAGTGAAAGTATATGAGCAACCTGGACCTAATCTGTTGACAACTTTTGTTTTTAGAATAAAAATTTTATTTGTAAAAGACATATAATAAGTTAAAAACAGGCATAGTTAGTTAGAATCTGGATTTTCTAATGTTTCTGTGCATGCAATAGATTATCCATACTTCGTGTTGAAATTGTGTTTTTACTGAAATGGAAAGGGAGATAATTTCCAAGAGACAGGTTGTGTTAATATTTAGGACTTGCTGTCTCTAGTTTGGAATTTAAATGCCTTTGTTATACGAGGGATAACAAACATGTAATAACTCCAGACTCCCTTTTGTATTAGACAACTCTGTGTTCCCAGCCAAGGGGACCCAGATTAGAAGTCAAAAGACTGACTGCAGCTATCCGGGTGTTGGTAGAGAAATGGAGGCTGAATTAGCATTCTCCTTCTTTCTGTAATAGTAGTTTAACTTTTTGTTTTGTTCACTGTAGGGAAACCTTTATAGGAGGTTCTTATTTTGGAGAAGCACGTTAATGTTTGTGGATGGAGAGATACAGGAGGGGAAAGTTTGATACTGTTTGTATCTGGAGAAAGAGAATGATTTTTGTGGTACTCATATGCTATTACGAGTACAAATTGGACTTCTTTTTACATATTTAGCCTATTTAAAAATTTTATGTTTTAAATAGTATTAAGGTTCCTTTAAAATTATTGAAGTAATATGAATTCTTAATGTTGTGTTTAAAAAAATGAGAATAATGTTAATTACAACATGCCAAACATAACTCATTTAACCAGGAAGTATACCAGGAAGAAATTCTTTGGGATATTTACCTGGTGTGGTTGGTTAAAACAAAACAGTGAAAACAGGAAATCTAAGTACAGAAATCACAGGATTTCCAAATTAGAATGCTGACTGTGGCAGCCTTGGGTAATTTTTGAATATTGGAGAAGGTTGTCTGCCAAATTTAAAGTTAAAAATCATGTTTCAGTTGTATGCTTGAAAGCACACATATGAACTCAGTTCTTTCTTTGCACCTTGTTTAGTCTCAAAGTTAGTAAACCCAATATTATGTATGCCTAATAAAAGGATTTTCATTTCTCACTTTAATTTTCATTGCTTAGTAATAGGTTATTCTGATTACAGATCTTTTGACAGAAGCAGCTAGTGTACCAATTACAATATATACATATTAATTTTGAAGCTTAGGTAGTGTGGCAATTTATTTGATGAACCAGTGCTGTTCTTTTTGTTTTGATAGTAATAGGGCACCTTGAAATGAATTTTTCAGAACAATTTATTTTGGAAAAAATCTATAAAACTAGTTTTAGATTTTGGTTTAGAATGTTATGTATAGTATTACATCTTAGGTTTTTATTTAAAACCAGGGAGATGGGTTATTTTTATTTAAGAATTTAGTAAAAATGGATTATTTTAAAATCACACACAGCACATTTTATTTATTTTTTCTTCTTTATTTTGTTTATGTGTGAATTACATTGATTGACTTTTAAAATTGAAGGACAGTTGATTCATAATACTGTGTTGGTTTCAGGTGTCCAGAAAAGTGATTTGGAGATTGTGTGTGTGTGTGTGTGTGTGTGTGTATACACACACACATATATATGATTATGTTCTATTATAGGTTATTACAAGAATAGTGTCCCCTGTATTATACAGTAAATCCTGTTGCTTATCTGTTTTATGTATAGTAGTTTGTATTTGTTAATTCCATACTCCTAATTTATCACTTGCCCCACTCCCTTTT